CTAACAAGATAACAATATCCAAGGAGTGCGGTTGGACACCTTCGTCACCGACTCTAATGGAGTTATAAAACTGTACAAAATAAACCTAACAACAACAAAATAAACTTCAAAAAACAACATCCATTAGGAATTGAATATCTAACAAGATAACAATATCCAAGGAGTGCGGTTGGACACCCTCGTCACCGACTCTAATGGAGTTATAAACAATGCTTCACCCTAAAATTGGCAAAGTGAAAAAAACACATTTCTAAAAATGCGGACAAGGTTTATATATTTGACACAACAAGGCGGTGCGAATATATATAAAAACCTGTGTATTGTGATCGGCTCAACTCCACCGAACTACCGGGCACAATACAACAAATGTCAAACCAAAATATTCTACACAACAAGGCGGTGAGAATATTAAAAAAACCTGTGTATTGTGATCGGCTCAACACACCGAACTACCGGGCACAATACAACAGAAACCAAACAAAATATTCAACACAACAAGGCGGTGTGAATATATAAAAAACCTGTGTATTGTGATCGGCTCAACACCACCGAACTACCGGGCACAATACAACAGAAACCAAACAAAATAATCAACACAACAAGGCGGTGTGAATATATAAAAACCCGTGCATTGTGATCGGCTCAACACCACCGAACTACCGGGCACAATACAACAGAAACCAAACAAAATATTCAACACAACAAGGCGGTGTGAATATATAAAAACCTGTGTATTGTGATCGGCTCAACTCCACCGAACTACCGGGCACAATACAACAGAAACCAAACAAAATATTCAACACAACAAGACGGTGTGAATATATAAAAAAACCTGTGTATTGTGATCGGCGCAACACCACCGAACTACCGGGCACAATACAACAGAAACCAAACAAAATATTCAGCACTTGAAAAAAAAGCGTGAATCCAACAAGAAACAAATGATTCAACACTTGAAAAAAAGCGTGAATCAAACAAACCATTCAACCCTTGGAAAGAGGGCGAAAATAACTTCAACAAAACACTCTACACTGGGTAAAAGTGCAAATACAATACAAACAAAATATTCTTTTGATGTTGTTCCAATTATGAATGACGTTCCTAAATTAATAAACCAAAATGACCTAAGTAAACTTTTGAACTTTTAAACCCTAAAGTTAATATATTGTCATGAATACCTCACACTACATCAATATACAAACATGGCCCTTTCCTAGCATACATCAATCTACATACTTCCTCACACAAAAGCTGAATCCAACAAATATATCAAAATAAGACTAAAAGTTAATGACCAAATAGTGAAATTTTAATACTTAATAATATCTTTAATGTGATAGCGACCAGTGGTGTTCTTTATAAGGTCCTTCAAAAGGTAAACATTATCTGAAATCTTCTATAAAATTTTACATTTAACAAACTTAGGTGCAAGCTTTGCCGAAATATGCTGGAGCATTAGACTGAATAAAACTTCTTCTCCAAACAATATCACCAACATCAAAAGAAATAGAAATAGTAACAAATAATATTAATAATTTTAATATATAGCAATGCGCAATACGTTTATACGCTTTTAACAAATGTGACCGAACTCTAACAAAAATATCACTAAGTGATTTAAGAGAAAGGGCATAAAAATCCCTTTAACAAACTCAAGTTGGTCTAATCTAACAAAGAATTACTAAAATGGTGTAGAGAAGCATCAACAAATTAACTCTCTACCAAACATGAGAAAATTAAGTGTAAAATCAGTGGCCAATTTTACACTGCTATTTAAAGCTAATTGAACGTGAGGCAAAAATTTGGACCAAGAACGTTGATCCTCTTTAACAAAACAGGAAATACAAGTATCTACTGTCTTATTGTACCTCTCCACAGGGTTATTTTGGGGTGTGTGTACAAAGTGTTCTAAAATATTTTTGTAATGCTACAACCTTTCATGAAATCTACAAAATGCCTAGAAGAGAATTGAGTACCCTTAACACAACTATTATCTTAGAACAACCAAATTTAAGAAACTACCGGTGACTATTAAAACCAAGAATGCAACTATTTGAACCACTATACAACTATTTGAACTACTATCCAATAAACCCAAAAATTTATCTCCTCCAATTGAAAATTCTAAATAAGGCGCTTAACAAATAAAACAGGCTAAAAAATATATATGCCATAAACCTATAAACGCTAAAGAAAATTTTTGAAAAATCCAACCAGTCTAAAAATTCCCTTCTGCAAGTGGCTTTGTCAGGCCTTTTAGTGTGACTAACAATTTCTTTTACCATCGAGACATCTCTAGGTTTCTCAGGAACCTGAGCTCGATGGAACCTAATCAGTTTTTTGCCTCATTAGGGTTCCCCTTGGCCGAATTGCACACATCACAAAACTTTGTGATAACCCCCAATTTCTGACACTTGAAGCAAATCATACCAGGAATAGAAGAACAGTTCTTATAAGTATGACCAGTTGACTTACACTTCAAACACACAACGCTAGTATTGTCTGACGTGACCGCGTTGGACTGTACCCTTTCAAATTTAAGAAGAGAGTTCCTAATACCTAAAGCTTCTAACTCCTTTCCCAAACTTATGAAGTCCTCGAGCGAAGACAACTGTTTGCCAATCAAATAAGGTGTATAAACCGACAACATATTGTATTTGATAATTGTAACCAACGACGGCTCCGGAATAGCGGTGACCAGGCGGCTATCCATGTCCATGATTTCCGTGATAAAGTCTGGAAGAGACTCACCAGGCTTTTGTTTGCGAATGCGCAGTTCATGCTCCAAACGGCTATCATAGTCCGGCCTATCAAAACGTCTGAGCAAAGCAGCCTTAAGCTCAAACCACGAAGAGATCTTCATGCTAATGGTCCGAAACCACTTGGCAGCAGCACCAGCAAGCAGATCAGCGAACGAACCAATCAACACAGCCTCATGAAAGTTCCTGAATAAAAAGTATTCCTCAACACGAGTGATAAATTCTCTAACACAGGTCTTACCGTCAAAGATTATCTTGCTCCTAGTTAAATCAAGCATCTTCGTAGTATAGGCAGGCATATTCCTCCTAACGTGCTCATTCATGCAGTTGAACGAAGGCAGACTTGGTGCACGAGCAGAAGTATCACGAACATATGACAAATCCAATGGGACGCTCATTTCCGCTGAATCATCAGCAGCTGTGCTAACATCCACAATCGCGGACGACGTTGAAGGTTGAGCTTCCTTGTCCGTAATACAAACCGACAGAAACTACAAAATTCCAAAGCGGCAGTCCAAATGTTAAGTTCTTCAAAGTTAATTAAGTTTAAATTTATTTAAAAGCAAATTGTAGTGAAAAGACAAATTCAAATTTATTTAAAAGTTAACTGATGTGAAAAGCTAAGTTTAAATTATTTAAAAATTAAATGTTGTGAAAAGCTAGGTTCAAATTTATTTAAAAGTTAAATGTTGTGAAGCAATAAGTCTAAAGTTATTTAAAAGTGAAGTGAGAAAAGTTAAGTTTTAATTTAAATATCTAAGTTCTCTATTAAAAAGGATTTAAAGATTGCAGTAACCACTAACAATTGTTTTAATAACTAGATAATAACAGTAAAGTTAAGCTAAGTTAAGTTAATCTCAATTTACAATAAGTTATAGTATAATAATTCCAAAGTGGAGGTATCTATAAAAGTTTTCTCGAGCAGACTTATAACACATTCAAAGCTATTAAATTGTAACACAAAATGTTTCAGTAACTATACCCTTAATTGAGAATACAATAGGCAGCAGTATAACTTAAATTATTGTTCTTTGCTAAAGCAAAAATAACATTGTGAAGAAAAGTCACAATATTGTAATCTAATGTTGAAAAATTGTGAATATAACCTCACTTAAATGTTAATACAAATGTCACAAAATTACAAAGTAAATAATACACAAGGTAAGAAATACAAAAGTAGAATGCAGTAAAGACAGTATCTAAATAGTTATCTAATTAACCTACAGATACCACTTCATGTCCCTGAGCGCTGGCGACAATTGTAATATTAAAAAATTAAAAAAAATCTTTTTGTGTTTACTTGTGTAATGTTAATGTTATCTGTGTTCTAAACAAACAAACAAACTGCAGGCACCAAAAATACTAACAAACTAATAACTCAGGCGCCAGGTGCCCCAACCTTAAATGAACACAGACAACCAACCACAAATACAAGGAATGCCTCGGACAGCTCGGTCAGCGCTAGACTTTTAATCTAGGACGGGGGGGCAGCTATTAAATACAAAGATGTTAAGTTCAAGTGGCAGTTTATTATCCCGTAGTGTCTGTAGAGTACATGGTATCTTAACCCATATATGCCCAGAACTATTTTTTTCTTCGATTTCATTCATTTTTTAATATGTGGATACCTGAAGGGTTCCAATGAAGGCGGTAAGTGAAAATTTGAGGTGGCAGTGAGAGCATGGTGTTTTTTTTCATGGGTCAAAAACGACCCTCTGGTCAAATGTGTTACGTAAATTATGGTGGTGAATAAAAATACCAATATTTTATTAAATATTTAATTTCCGCCATAATTCGAGATCAAACTTAAGAATGAAACTGTGAAAAACATTTTGCATGTAAATTAACACCACATTTACTGCACGCCGTTACGGTTTTATTTTTGCAAAAAGCACAGCGAAGTCTCGACAGAGCCTTTCCTATCATATGCTCTGCATTGTGCTTCCGCACTGTATAAGGTACGCTAGTTTGGACCTTTCTAATGAGTCCAGGATGAACCTTTTCGGTGCCGTGATTCTGCAATAAAGTGCGGGCAATGCTCCGTCGAAACTCCAATGTGTCGATGTCGCCTCGGTATTGGCGAGTTAGAAGTGTAGCATTATTCACCGCAACGTCAATGAGCCAAAAAAGAATAGGCGTAAACCATTTCTTGCCTCTCATGGCGATTCTATACACGCCCACGTTGGCATCCAATCGGTCCACACCCCCCATGTATCGATTATATTCTGAAATAAGATGAGGTTATGGTACATCTATCCTTGATTTTAGCGCAGCTGAATATCTTCTTGCCGTTTGGATGGGTTGTACTCCGTGTTCAGTCGATAAGAGAGTCACAACGCTATTATCGTGCCATCTAACAACACATATGCCGTTTGTTTCGTCCAATTGATAGTCATAGTACCCTCTTCTTTCTTTTTGGCATTCTTTTGCGTCTTTCAGTGGGCAGTTTTCAATACGGTTACAAAGCACTGTACCCGTCAAAAACACATGTTTCTCTTTGAGATCACTGGCCAATGGCAGACCCGTAAAAAAATTGTCGCAATACACAGAGAAATCTGTATTAGGAAATTCCTCCTGTACTTTAGTTATCAGTTTATTGATAACATGACGTCCTAATCCTGTTTCTGTACGTTCGGACCGCCCTTGATAGGGATCGGCATACAGGCAGTAGCCCAATCTCGTGGCAGCAATCCACATTTTGTACCCAAACCTTATTGGCTTCCCTTTATGTGCTGTTTGCAACCATGCCTGCCGTAATACGGAACCATGGATTCATCGATACTTATTTGCTTTTCGATAGGAGCATACTGTAGAAATTTAGCATTTAGCATATCAATCAGCGGGCGTACTTTTGCCATCTTATCATTTTCAGGCAGTGCAGTATTATCGGCCACATGAAAATAACGCGATATTTCTTCTAATCGATTGCGACGCATACTTTTTACGACAAGAATGTTGTGGTTATCTTCATTGCTCTCCCAGTACATGCGGCGTCGTGGCAAAGGAGCATAACCAGACAAAATAAGGATACCAATAAAGCAGTATACTTCTTGGTCTGACAAAGAGAAATTCATATTTCCCGACTGCATAGCATATGTAACTGTTTGTCTGACTATGTGAACAATTACTTCACGATTGAAAAAGAGTTCAAAGAATACAACAGGGTCACTATGTGAAGACAATGTAGAAATAGACCTAGGAAAGGGTATGTTCCACTCACAATTGTTCCTGGAGAGATCTCTCTTCACCCAAGTGCGATCTCCACCCGGTTGACGTTGAGTAACTGTTCCTCTCCCCCTTCCACGTGTTCTTCCACGTGCTCTTCCACGTGCTCTGCCGCGAGTTATTTGTTCCAGTGGCAACGGAGGTGTATCATCAGGTTCATCATCCTCGCTGGAGGCAGTTTCTTCTACAAATGGGCGCTTTAAAGTTAGCCTTGCAGGTGCGAGTAGCTGTCGACGGGATAAATGATGGAAAAATATATCTTCGTCATCTCCCGAATCACCGTCAGATACCCTGCCATCACCAGGAGGGTCAATAAATATATCAGCACCCAGTATCTCATTGTCGGAGTCCAAATTTTCCAACACCTCAATGATATCATTCGTTTTAAGTGGTCTCGTAAACCTAAAAATAAAATTGCCATTAAATACACTTCTACCCAAGGGGTCGTTAGCGACCCACACATATTTCGACAACTATATCTGTGGCTAAAAAAAGTATTTTATAAAACTTTCACTGTTATGGGACAGAAAAATTATCTAATTTTATGATAGAAACGATATACTAAGTTTATTAACGCAGAAAAAAATATTACTTACGTTATTCTCAGCAGAACCGGTATTTTTTGTCACCAAAAATCAAGTCATGGAAAGAACTGTCACTTGTGGCACATATTTACCCGCCAAATCAAAATTATGTCATTTGTTTTTAAAGGTAGTACTTTGATTGATCGATAGATGGCATTAGGAGTCACAAATAAACGTTTAGCTACACAAAATCGCTCATATTCCATAACCTGTTTAACAGGACAAAAACGACCCACGGGCATATATGGGTTAAGGTTCTAATTACAATATGTAATTCTTATACTCAAATTAGTACTGTCGTTAATGCAATCTTTTAACTGAATAAAACAAACTAAAATTAAATAGGTTTTGAAAAGTCACACAAAGACTTAATAGGAAATGAATCTAAGGGTAGTTGTAGCATCGACCTACTCCCTTTATAAAAATAACACCCCTTTGGGACCTGCAGTATCCGATGCCACGACGCCATCCAAATTAATAAAAAACATACCAATGACTTTGGCTCAGTCCGAATGAAATGAAGGCAAATTAAGGCTAATAAATCTCACTCCTGTCCCACATGGTGGAAGAGGCGGGGTAGTATTCCAAGGTTCCTGATAATGGACTGCAGCTAAACAGCTTTTTCTACCATTATAGGTGCTCCGCCGCAAACTAAATCCTTGGGTCAGGCCGGCAGTGAGGCAAAATCCAAATGTAACGCAATGACATTACAATCCAATAAGAGAACCGAACAGAGGTTATGAAAATAAGGTATAACAAGAAATTAAGGTTCAAATAAAAATTTAGGTATAAATTAAAAATTAAGGTATAAAAGAAAAATTAAGGTGTAAAAGAAAAATTTAGGTATAAACTAAAAACCCTGTTTCAATCTGAAACAACGAAAATCATAGGTTATTTGCCTATCTCAAAAGAATGAATCCTAAATCTGGCAAGATACAATAATTTACTCACCAGGGTTTCAAAACGTTTCACCAACAAAGCAGCGGCATTATAAATAATTCCTGTAACCAAATAAACAATGATTTAGAACAAGTAATCTCGACAAGCCAAGCATGAACCACGTGGCTTAACAAAACTTACCTTTACAATGAAAATATCAATTCGAACAAATAACTTGAGTCTTTAACGAGACTGGCCAAACATTAAAAGATGAAATATCCTCGTTTACAACAAAATGACTACAATTTTTAAAAACTATATCTTACTTCGACTTGGACGAAATCCAAAGTGACGCCATCTTGCCTTTTCACTATAACGCGTCCAAATGTTGCCAGAACAAGAAAAACTAATTCGATAAATTACCATAGACGATCAGCACCGACTATTATTCTCGTCCGTGTCACCGACCGGAGCTCGCTGAAACGTCATAAAATTCGACCGTCAAACCAAAAACGCGTCGATGATTCAATTTCCTGTAATGGTGCGAATGCACCGTTACAAGGCATGATATTGGTTTCAACCTGAATTGCTCTGATGGGAGTTGAGCACATAGCTCCTGAAATGATCCTCAAAGCCTTGTTCTGAATAATATCTACCTACGTACTATGTACATACCTACTATCTAAGTAAGATAAACAACTATAATCAAAATGACTTCTAACTATAGCTAGCTAGCTTTATAAAGAATAGATAGTATCTTTGGGTCTGACCCCCAAGATACCCCTGCTAGGCACCTCATAATGTTTAGACCTTTAATAGAGTTTTGAGAGATGTATTTTATGTGCTTCTCAAAAGATAATAACTATTCCTAGAAATTTATGATGGCCCACTTTAGGAATAACTTCATTATCAAATATAATTTGGGTATTTGGGGAGTCCTTACTAAAAATCATAGCACTACTTTTAGATGGATTAATTTGCAGAGATAATTTGCCGTTATAATATGAATGTAATTCCTCAAGTGCATAGTTTAGTCTATTAATAGCAATATCTACATTATTATTTACAGAATATAATACAAGGTCATCAGCAAACTGTAAAATATTTACAAAATCAGTATTTACATATTTACAGATCTCACTGGTATACAAATTGTATAGCAGCGGGGATAAAATTGCCCCTTGCACCGTGCCCTTGGACACAATTCTTGGGCCATGTAATATGTTGTTATGTCTTACATATAGTGTGCGGTTAATTAAAAATTGATGCACCCATTTTGCAAATAAACCAGGTATACCTAGATCAGTTAACACCTTAACTAATATTCCAGGATGAACATTATCAAATGCTCCTTTTACATCCAAAAAGACACATACAGCGTTTGCTTTACTATTTTTTGCATATTTCAGATCAGATAAAAGGGATAAGAAACTGCCTGCACAGCTCCTGCCCCGTCTGAAACCATATTGAACATGTGCAATGATGCCTTCAGATTCAACAAACCAATCAAGTCTGCTTTTAACAATATTTTCAAAAAAATTACCTATACAAGAAGATAGATATAGTTAGAAGTCATTTTTTTTTCGGGTAGGTGCTAAATAAGTTAACACACATAGTAAAAATCTCTGCAGTATTTTAAATAATTTTAATTAATAAATCCCTAGTGTTTGTTATCAAAAAACGTGCAATAAAGCTTAGATACATTGTACTTACAGTTATCACACTGATTTACATGATTTAAGCCAGGTATTTTAACCACCTGCCAGCACATCAACACTACACAGCGTAACTTTAAAGAAAATATTATTTTCACTTTGTAATCACAACTATGTCTCAACTGTCTGATATTCAAGAGGCTCAGAACAGTTTAGAAGAGAGCTTCTCGAAGAGGATGGCTCAGCTGGAGGCACAACTGCAAACTGGTGGAAACAGCAAGGAGACAGTGGCGCGGGTGTCAGAGGAGTTTAAAACCTTTCGTGAGTTGATGTTTACCATGCTGGGTCTTCTTCGGAAGCAAATTGGTGAGTGTGTCAGGATGGTGGATGCTATGGAGACCCGGCACCGTCACAAGTCCCTGATCTTCTTAGGAGTGCCCGAGGCTATCAAAGAGGATTGTGAGACAACTCTTCTCGACATAATTAATTCAAAGATGAATAAGAAATACATCTCACGCCCAAATATCAGGCATTGTTATCGGATTGGTGCTCCATCTAAAGAACATCGTCGGCCAATATTGGTGAGATTTACCACCGCGGAGACTAGATTGGCGGTCTGGAAGTCTAAGACATCCCTGAAGGGTTCTGGCTTCTCAGTGAGGGAATTTCTCACTAAACGCCGACAGACTGCCTTCAGCATGGCCCGACAGCATTTCGGTATGTCAGCTTGTTGGACGCAGGACGGCATTATAAACATCAAAACCCGTGACAACTGTCGGCATAAAATAACATCCATCGACGAGCTTAAAGGATTGGTCACCAAATATCCTAAGGTATCAGTTGCAGATAGAAGCGTCTCCGAAAATGCAAATTTAGCTGTGAGTAATTAGTATTAGTGACACTACTATTTGTCGCATTGTGCTTTCGATATATTTTCATAATATCCTGATAATAAGTTTTCATAGTTTCTTGTTTGTTATTGTACCTTCAACTCATTAATTAAAAACTTTGTTTGCTGTCCTGTGAATTGCTAACAATCGTGACAGATATGACATCTGTCAAGTCAATGTTTCGCTCGTTCAGCAACCATTACTGTTGCGTTCAGTATCTTGTACTCACAAAACCCTTAGCTATTTAACTCTTGTTTTTATTTTTGTTCTTCCTCTGGTTTAGCTGCCTAATTATTATTAACTAAATAAGGTACACTATGTTCAATTTATAACATTTATTTATAGTCGTTTTTTCTTCGCATGTTTTGTTTTAGTGTTTTACTAATTAATTTCAGTCTTGTGTGTGAGCTGGCGGGTGGTGTAGAAATACGTAAACCCAACGTCGACTAAGGTAATAACTTACA